ATTTTTTTTTTTTTGTGGCAAACATTTTACTGACAACCAAAAACTTTTGTTAAATCTCTAAATTTGAACCCAGCTCTTTTAAGTGGGGCCTGTCAACAGAGCAGGCCCTGGCAAAAGAATTACATTGACATTATATAAAACACATATCAGTAAAAACATGTCAATAAAAAGTTTGCAGATTGTCAGTTAAATTTTTTTTTCTGGGGTTGGCAATCCTGATGACTAGGTTTGGTCATGTACATATTTTTGAGCAACAGGAGTGCAGGAAGCAGCAAGGATGTCTGTTCAGCTCACAACTTGTGTGGAGCCCTAGATAACTGGATACCCATGCTGATTTCAGTTAGGCCAGCAAGTGGAGCAAGTATAGTCTTGCATTTTCAATAGTTAAGCATTATATCAGATGACTTGGAGAGGCTGTGGAACCTCTGTAGCTTGCACTTCAATTTCTTCCAAGACAAACATTTGTCTGGATGATTTAGACAGGAATGATCCTGCCTTGAGAACAAGTTTAGTCTAGATGACCTTGTGAGGTTCATATTTTTCTATGTTGTGTGACAAATATAGAGTGGCTATATGCCCAAAAGCTATTCGTGAAAATCCCTTTTGTAAACGTGGAGACTAATCTGCATAGTTTCTATTACAAGACTGGATATAGCATTAAATCCGTCTTAGGCTAACATGCTTTGGTTGTAGTAGAATGCAACTGCCCCTATGGATTCTATTATTTACACCCATTTTTTTCAGTAAAATCAGAGATATTTTAATTCAGTAAACGAATGTGCCACTAATAATTAGATAACCTAAAAACTTAAGAATCTCCAAGTGTTTTTTTCTGAATAAATCAGATTTTTTTTTAAAAAACTGGTGTCATTCAGTGTGGGTATATATTTCTCATTAGCAGCAACTACCAGGTGTAAGGATATGTAGGAGACCCATGTCCACTGTGCTATGACCTACCTGTTGAAGACATGACAATTATAAGGTTAATATAAGTGCTGCTAGGCTGTGGGATGAATTTGAAAGAACAGAATCCTTGGGAAACACCCATGCAGCAGGCATAAATTATATCCAGGGCAACTTTAAAACAGTAAATACATAATATTTAGGCTCCACTAACATTCAAAGTCCCAATTTGGTTTACCCTATACTTTCTCTATATGGGCTGTTTTGAGCACCAGCCCAATGGAGTAAAAGTGGAAAATGTGAAAGGCATCAATACCACAATAAGTAGCAAAGTTGTCAGTACAAAGGAGCAAATTTTTGACAAATTATTTGTGTCACAGAGCACTCAGGTGCCCTGTGCCTGAAAGCAGAAACGGCTCGGGAGAGGCCCCTAGTGGCAAGAGGAGGGAGGCTCAGCTGCTAGTTACCAGGGCAGCCAAAGCCACAGGTGCTGGTTGCTAGGGCAACCAGTGGAGCCAGCTGACAGGAAGGGGCAGGGCTTGGCCCTCCTTAAGCCCATGCGTGAGGCCAGGAGGGCAGTTCCTCTCTGGCGGCCAAGGGAGGGGGAGCTCGGCTAGTGCAGACAGAGGGGAGAAGCCCGACTGCATGAGCATCCCCTGATTGCTGCTATGGGTTGGAGTATTTCCCGGTAGGGATTGAATATTTTTTGGCCAGATGGTTTAGCTTTTTATGTTATAGCCCGGGGGCTTTGTGTTTTTGTGTTCGCTGTTTGACCGGAGGACCGGGTGAGGCTATTAGGGGTTGGAGGAGGCCTCACAGGGGCTCCACAGTAGCGTGGGGACCCTGGCAGCAGAGAGGGCGCAGCATTTGGGGTGCATTGACCCCAGCCCCAGAGCAAGGGGGCCGGGAGAAGCCCCAGAGCAAGGGGAGCAGTGAAGAGCCTGGAGAGAGGGCTGTGAGGAGCGGGAAGCCCCAGAGCAAGGGGGGGGGGGGCAGCGGGAAGCCCTAGAGCAAGGGGGGGGCAGCGGGAAGCCCCTGAGAGAAGGCAAGGACAGGGCCAAATCACAGCAGGGCCCAGGTCGAATACCACGTTAGTACCATCTGTGAGGCTTGGACTGCAGTGTAGGGGAGGAAAAAGGAGCTGCAGACAGCACCCTCTGGCACCGGGGCAAGTAAAGTAGGCAGCCTCCTGCTAATTTCAATCAATCAATCAATCAAGATCAAGGCATGGCAGGAGAGTAAGCAAGCGGCTGGCCACAACAGGAGGGCGGAGCCACCAAGAGAAAGGCTCCAGTAGCAATACTCCTGTCTCAATTTGTTTATGGAATATGTAATTTTTGGACATACGATATTTTGTTAAAGCAAATAGTTTTGAAAGAAATTCTTAAACTCAGAAATGATAAAATGCTTCATTTCAGTATTTTAGAATATTTCAATTTTTTTGTGCTAGAATTACAGAGACACTTAGTGCCATACATAAAATGAAGATAGTACAGATGTCATCTGCCTTCTACTATAGAGCCCAGCAATGATGGCATTTTTCAGGGAGACCCAGTTTCAAACCTGTTCTCTGTCTGAATTAAGCAAAGGCCTGATCTTGGATCTCCTTTGCTCAGGAGAGTAGTCTAACCACTGGACTACTGGGGATTCTAGGGTGGGTCTCTTCCAGTTTTTTCTGCTGAAACAGTACCACTCTGTACAAATTTTCACTGGATCAAAAAGTAGTGATGGTGGTTAGGGTTCAGACGGAAAGGAAATATTAATACATAGTCATTGTAATCAATTTAGATATTGTGATACACAACATCAAAGAACATATCAAGGCAGCAGCTGACTCAGTGTGTTGGTATGGTACCAGAAGTCTTGTACTAATCTCCAAGCTTCCTCTGATAAATGAAGGCTCTTTGGAACAACTTCAACAAGGAGATTTCTATCCCTTGTTAGGAGTTCTTTTGCAGAGCTATCTCCAATCTTCAAGAAGTGATGCCTCTTCCCTCCAAAATACTTCATCTTGCATGTTATACTAAAGTTTGAAGTCAGAGGCCTGTGAAGTCAGGGTTTGAAATTTAACGAAAACCAAGCTCATAGGAGCAGCCCTATGGGGCTGGAATTTGTGACAGAAGAGGTGTGCCAGCAATACCGGCAACTTAAAATGATTACACGGAGCATTCCAGCAAAAACATTTGAGACTACGTCACCCTGGCTATTAATGTCCCATTCAAAAAAGAACTCCCAAATAGAGAATTTGCTGGCAATTAATAATATCCATCAATAGCAGGCATGACTGCACACAGGTAAGTTTGGGCTCAACTATCCACAGTCCTATAATGAAGAAAAAAAATCCTACAGAGAGAAGGAAAAAACTACTACTGTTTATGAAATAATCTGCCCATAGACTACTCAACATAACTGACTCCCAAACACTAAATCCTTACCCTGACAGTCTGACACCCAGCTGGATTTTTAAAGAATTACCTGTGTTTGTATATTGCCCATGTGCTATAAGTATAAAAACATGTTTATAAATAAAGTCATGGTATTGTAACTCAAATACCATATACAATATACATACCATATTGTAACACTGCATACCACACGCATTCTTTTCCCCAAAATTAGTCTTCCAGACTTGGAGGTGAGGATCTTAAGGGGGGAATCTGATTTACTTCCCAGAATAGAAGCATGGAGACACTGTAAGATGACTGCTGTTTCTTTTCCCTCCCCACAGTGACCACAGAAAGAGAAGAACAGAGTCCAGTCTTTACCTGCAGCTACAGTTTTAATTTTTTTTACAGCTGAACAGGAGCAGGAACTGAACCTAATTTTCAGCTCATTCCCCCTCCCCTTCCTGCACAGGTAATAGCAGCCAGTTCAGCTATAAAAGGGATAAGACTACGGCTTTTGCCTGAACAAGAAAGGGATGGTGAGTGAGCTGAAGACTGGACTCTGTCCCTGCTCCATGCAGCCCTAACCCTGGAAAAGTCTCTCTTCATTCTGCTTTCACAAAAGCAAGGTGCATGGCTTACTTGGGAGCATGTGGTATGCAAAAAATATGTTATCCTATAAAACCTGAGGGACCTGAACCACTTCAGCCTCCACAAAAGAAGGCTGAGAGGGGATCTGGTAGCTGTCTATTAATTCATGGGGGGTGGGGGGGAGAAGGAATCAAGGAATAGGGGATACTCTGTTTACCAGGGCGCCCCTTGGAGTTACTAGGAACAATGGCCATAAACTGATTGAGACCAGATTTAGATTAGACATTACGCAAAATTTCTTTATGGTGCGGGTTGCCAAAATCTGGAATGAGCTTCCAAGGGAGGTGGTACTCTCCCCTACCTTGGAGGTCTTCAAAAGAAGACTAGACAAGCACCTACCTGGGGCTATCTGACCCCAGCGCTCTTTTGTGCCCAGGGCAGGGGGTGAGACTCAATGATCTACTGAGGTCCTTTCTGAGCCTAAAAAATCTATGAAAACAGATTTTTACAATACTTAACAAAATCCTGATGGTCAATGTATTTAGCAATAGGCATCACTGACAGATCTTCTCCCCAGCAGTAGCTATTATAAGTTTTTAACATATGTAGTCAGAAACATTACTGTTTTGTAATAGTCATCTAATTAAAATATAATATACAATGAGAGAAACATACACTGATCTGAACTATGCACTTAAATGCATAAAAGAAACCCAAAGTCAATGGAATGTGTGTGCATATATCCAGAACGACATTTCATTCTTTTCAGTTATAAACCTTTGTAAATACAGATTTTAATTAGATTTTCTATAAGTTTCTCATCCCATTTTCTAAGAGTAAACCAATATGCCAACTTTCAAATAACTAAGCCTTTATTCTTCATTCACATCAAATGACAAACAGTACAAATTGTTATTATTACTTGTATCAGTCTACTAGTCATACATCAAGAACTGAATATGAAGACTGATCTTTTCCTTCACAGTAGTTTTACAGCTTTACAGAAAGCAATAAGCCAAATAGCAGAGGCAGATGTGCATATTACATTAAAAATACATCTCTTTGCCCTATCCCTGCACTGCTCATTCACTCATCTTCCTTAAAATCTACTAGTTTTCTCACCTCAGGTAAGGTTAGAGCATCCTGTTTAACATCTTGCCGTGCGTGTGTCAGAATAAGAGCCAGTACTTCTACTGTCTTCCCAAGACCCATTTCATCAGCCAGAATTCCTCCAGGCCACTGAGGCCCAGCAACTGGGTATTCACGGATAATGCTAAAAACCAAAAAACATTCCCAAGACAAGCTTAGCACTTTGATGACCACTGTGACAAGGGAACTAGCACATGTTCAGAATAAAAGAAAATACATTTCTGCAAGACTAATATGTATAGAGGAGGTCATATTTTAATATAAAAAATTCTTCTGGTGGTACTTTTAAACAAAATACAAATATGGGAACATATTTTTTCAAAAAGTGACAATAAAGTGCTTGAAAAACTAATATAGATAATAGTACATGAACAAACAAGATTCACTTCTAAAAATACACAAACTGTTAAAGCAATCCTAGTAACCATATTTACCTGGGAAAAAGGCACCTCCTGTCCCCCCCTCCCCCCCACACACAACCATGTTTTCTGTTGATAATTCTAAAACTTTCAAGACAAAGCAAGAGGGCTGCCGTCTCAAAAAAAAAAAATCAATGTAAACTAACTGAACGCTGAAAAACCAGATTACTTGCAAGGTAAAAAAAAAATAAATTACAGTGAACACACTGATACATGTAACTTAAGATTAATCTATTTGGCATTTTCTAGCAGGTTTCACATGGTACTTTGAAATTAAGTATCTTACAGCTCAAGTTCTAGTTCTGATTTAAAAAGCATCATTCTTGCTTATCTTATGTTCCTCAGGTTTATATAAACAAACAAAACAAGAAACCTCGCAAAACAATTCTAACAAAGTAGAATGCTTAGGGTTTTTCCAAGAACAGACGCTACTTACCAGCCAATAAATGGATTATAGTAGATTTTCACTCCATCTAGAGTGATGACCTCTCGCCATAAAAAGTGAAGAGTATTTTCTATAGAAAAAAGATCAAATAATGACTATGATTTTTTTTTTTCTATTAATAATATACACCTTAGAAGTGCTCAACAGTGTGATATTTTGAGAAAAAGAGGAAAATCCAGTACTTTTAAGCCAACCATCCTGTTCAACTGCCTCCTGGTTGGCAACGTTATACTGCACTATAGGCTCCTTGCCCTGAAACTCTGTCCTTAAAATACTTTCATGTTGAAAAGGCAATCAGGACTCATAGTAAAGATGATATCTTTTATTAAACCAACAAGATTTTTGCAAAAAAAAGTCTTTAATTGCAAGCTTTCGGGCACAAACACCCTTCATCAGCCATTGGAGGAAAGATTGTAAAAGTTCTCCTGGGAAGAAATGAAAGTTCGTATTTCACAGGATTTCACAGAGGAATCAATAGATGGAAAACTCCTCCGGGCAGTCAGTTTATAGCTGGTATGAAGGCTCTCACCTTCTGTGAGGATCTGTGATGATGCAAATTACCTTGAAACAAAGGCAGGAACAGGAGCTCAGGTTTCAGGTGGTCACAGTTGCTTCCTGCTTGGGAAAATATGAAGATTTCATTTTTAAAAATTTCATTTCTACCCAGGAGAACTTTTACAATCTTTTCTCCAGTGCCTGATGAATGGTGTTTGTGCCCAAAAGCTTGCAATTAAAGAATATTTGTTGGTCTTGTTGGTCTAATAAAAGATATCATCTCTACTACATGTCCTGATTGCCTTTTCCTTTAGACCAATATGGCTACAACTTGGATACCTGACTTCATGTTGAAACTTATTTTATGCTGAGATCATATATTCACAAATTTATGCAGAACTCTACTCCAAAAAATATCCTGTTGTAGTAAGAGTAATGGACAGTGGCACGGAAAGTTAGCATGTCACCCAAAATAAACTAAAAAGTGTGGCTAAGCTACCAATTATAGGAAGCCACTTTGTTTCAGAGTTAAATGCTTTTTTATCATAAGCATTTCCATAATTTTGTAATATGTAGTGTAACACCCAATAATAATAAAAGTTAACATATCCAGGTTGTCAATGTTTATATTAGTTTCCTGCCCAAAATAAAACATGGATAAAAAGATAGTATACCACAATACCTTTACCAGGGCATCTGAAAAACACCTTTAAAGCTTTAATAATAAAAAATTAAGTGGTAAACAAAGCTTCATCATGGATACACTTTTGCTAATGAAACAGGCCAGATCATAGTTTATTTCAATCAATCCTCAGCTGCATATATTGATCACATTTATATTGCTTAGTCCAAAATACTTGCCATTGGTAGAGATGTTTCTGAAATTCTCCCGTTGCAGCATCCAGTTCACAGCCTCACTTTGGTATGGCCTCAATATGGGAATAAGTGCAGGGTGCTGTACATCCTCCCTCAACAACTGATTTTCCTGCTGATGTGTATGCCTCACAAAGTCATACAGCTCTTCAATATTCTGTCGCTCTAGTTCTCTATCAGATTCTTCCTCATCTTCCTCCAACACATCTGTATACACCAAGAAGCATAACAAATCACATAATCATCTTATCAACAATGATCAACATCTCAATTAAATGGTTTAGCTTTAATGAAATGTGTTTTGTTAATAAATGAAAACAATAAAGAACAATTCCACGAAGAGCATGAGCCAAATATATTCTAGGGTGTGGGAGTGGGAAGATTATGCAAAGACAGGAGTTAAGGCTCCAGAATCTTAATGCTGGCAGTTTTCCAGACTGCAATCCTAACACCCAGTTAAGAGCAGGACAAAAGGATTTTAGCAGCAAGTAGTGGTACAGGGCCTAAATATTGCTCTTTAGGTTTCCACAGCCCGGGGTTCTTCTTTTCTTTTTTTTTTAACAAGAAAATAAATCAAGTGTGAAAAATTATGAACCATCTGTTTTCCTTTTAACTGAAGGGAGCAGGAAAATATGAAAACACATTCAAGGGAGGGATACATTATTTTGTAGTGCATTCCCACTTAAAAACAGGAAAGCGTGCATCATGGAGATGAGAGGAAAAAAATGGGAGTGGGATAAGAGAAGGAAACTTTTTTCCTACTGGGCCCCATGAATGGTGCCCCCTATTTGCCAACTTCAAAGAAAACAGGAGGGGAATTAAATTGATGTGGGAAAAGTAAAATGAAAACTGCTCTCACTTGTACATTTTCCTATGCAATCCCCTTCATAAAAAAGTTATGAGATGTACTTACAAAAACGTATTCACAGAAAAAAAAAATCCATGGCAATACTGTCTCTGGCACAAAACTAAAAGCATCTCAGATAAGTCAACTCCAAGCAAGCATTAAAAAAATTCAGGACCAGATACTGAATTGGTGTGAATGAGCACAGCTTGATTGATTTCAACTGGTCTAGGCTGATTTACACCAACTCAAGATCTAATCCTGAGTTAATTCATACTTAAAGGGTCTCTTTTTATTATTTTTTAATGAATATTCTTCTGGCTACTCCAGACTGCTATTAAAATTTCAGCTTGCCTTAGAAAAAACAGGTGCTATTGATGCAGGACAATAATTAGAGATGTCAGTCTGACGCAGGCAGAAGGCAGGGCAGAGTAACATTTTAGAGTAGCACCGGTTAGGTGTAAAGGTGCCACTCTCCCCTCCCTTCTGCCTGACCATAATAATTACAGAGTCTTGCTTTAGAATTTAGAGGCAGAACACAGAATAATAAAAAGAGCCTTGTATATTAGATTCAGATTTCCAGGTAAATATTTGTTTTTCTGGATAATTAACTGCCTTAAACTGGCTTCTGCCAATTTCTATTTTTCTTCTGTTGCTAAGCAAAGTTTCAATATAGGGTTTAGTAAAATAAACCCACCATCAGTAAAGCACAAAAAGTGGGTTTTATGGAAATGGTTTCATCTTAAGTGAATGTGTGACAGCAAAAAAAATGGAAAATTGGAGTTGAAACCTGAAAATTATGAAACATGCTTCCGTGACAACCTTTCAGAGTCTACTACTTCTGAATATCCCCTCAGGAAATCTAAATTCTCTCTAAATGTGGAGATCACTCCAGATCAGTCACCAGGACCTTAAAAAAAATCTACACAGTTATACATTCCTTCACTTATTTTATCATAGACCTTTAGGAAATAGTGTGTCAGCCTAATTTAATAGTTGTGACAGATCCAGAATTATACTGAAAAACAAATTTAGTAGCCTATAACATTATTAAGATACCTGAAGGAATGCTGACCTCACAAACCTAAAGACAGGCAGTTTCAGTAGCTTGGCTACATAGCTCGTGTTCATAGCTTGGCTACATATTATCATGGTTAAATTTTAAAAAACCTAATCATGTTTGCTGTAGCTATACAAATCCCCATGAGAAGTGAAACAAGCAAATACAAGAATCATATAAATTTCACTTAAATCAAAAGGCTATAGACCGAGAGGTGCCAACTCCTGCTGAGTATCTGCAACTGCTATTAAAATCAATGGGACATAACCTGCAGGTAGAGGTGTGCCAATATATCGGTGCCATATCAGATAGGCACCAATAAAAGGAAAATTAACATTTTCGGCTATCAGCCTTTTTTGGCCAACATAGGCAATAATGTATCAATAAATATAATGCATCTTCCAGCCAGCGCCACCAGATGCAGCAGCCGCACGCATGCACCAGCTAGGAATGCAGCCAGTGCCCTGCAGGTAAGTCTGTGGAGGGGAAGGAATGTGGGGGAGGGAAGGGACATGGTGGGGGGCAGATCAAGGCCCCCAGGGTGAGGGAGGGAGGGAGTGGGGCAGGGGCTGGGGTTGAGGCTGGGTGGTGAATGGAACCCCAAGGGAGCAGAATGAAGCCATGGACAGCTCATCCATGGGATCAGCATCCCCGTGTCAAGCTGTGCCTCCAGCTGCTGGACAGGCAGGGGGTGTGGCATGGCCAGTGTGTGGCTCCCGGGGCAAAGGCAACAGGGTGGAAACCCCTGAGCCCATAGTGGGCAGCCTAATTCTGCCCTTGCCCCCACTTCTGTTAAAAGTTTTCCCCGGATTTAAAAATGGTGGTGACAGTGCTTAAACTAAAGCTCATTCAATTAATTTTAGTTCAAGTGTCCCCTGCCGCCATTTTTAAACACTGGGATGCTGAACCCCTGGACAAGCCACCCGCAACTCCATTCCACTCCCTGACCTCAAGTTCCCATTCACCACCCTGCCCCAGCCCCAATCCAAGCCCCAGCCCTAAACCCTGCCACACTCCCTCCCTCACCGAGGGGGCCTTAATTTCCCCCCCCCATGCCCCTTCCCCATACCCCTTACCCCGCACTTACCTGCAGGGAGCTGCTTCTCAGCTGCCTGGCTGTGCTTCTGTAAATCAGCTATCAGATTGGTATCAGCCGATATGCTTGGAGAATAATTGGCTATCGGTATCGGCCAAGAAAATCTTTATCGGTGCACCCCTACCTGTAGGTACTCACCAATTCTGGATTTGCTACTCAGAGAAAGAAAAGAAGAAATTGTGAAATGTGCTTGATATCTCAGTCAATGCTACATATCACTAGGGACCTACCGAAATTGCAATTTCATGAATTTGGCAAAATCTGGCATTGCCCATGTAAGTAGGCAATGCCACAAAACCCACAGAAAAAAACAGAAGAAAAGTTACTGAAAATAAAATGCTGGCTCCCCAGAGGAAGCCAGCAGTCCTCAGGGCACTGCAGCTTGGCTGCATAGCCCACGGGGAGAAGGAGGGAGAGGTCATGACAGGCAGCCCTCACAGCCAATCAGCAGTGAGGAGTGGGGATGTATGACAGGCAACTATAGCAGCCAGTCATTGGGAGAAGAACGAACCAGAGCCCCTCACTGAGCTGCAGCAGTAGTGACAGGGAATTTCTGGTTTGGCTCTAGTACTGCATAAAAGGACCTGAGGTTTATGAGGATCACAAACCAAATGTTTAAACATGATGCTGTCCCCCAAGAAGTGCAAACACCGTTCTGGGATATACCAACAAAAAGACTGCATGCAAGATATAATTATTCTGCTGAATTCTGACAAGGTAAAGCCACAGGTAGGGTTCCACATTCAATTTTGGGCAGCACACTTCTTCAGAAAGATGTGGACAAACTGGAGCAAGTCTAGAAGAGAGAAACTAGAATAAGCAGTTTAGAAAGCATGACTAAAGAGGAAAGGTTGCAAGAACTGTGCCTCTTTAGTCCAGAAAGCAGAAGAGATCCTAACTGGATTCTATACATAAGCTTAAACAGGGACCTACCTAATTCATGGTGAGAAAAAGCAATTTTTGCAGCTTGGTCATGACCTGAAGAGCTGATTTAGCAGTCATTTCGCAGCAGCCCCGTCCCTCGGCACTGACTGGCGAAGAGGACCCGGGGAAAGAGGGATGAGGGGGTGGCCACCAGCTTGACCGTTGACTGCTCTTCATGTGTCCTCACCCCTTGGCACTGATTGGTGGAGAAGCACAAGCGGGTAGCCGCCGTCTTGGCGGCTGTCCTTTGTGCTGCCCTACCAGGAGACACCTTCACACTTCTTGAGCAGGCTGCAACACTGAGCTACAGCAGCAGTGATAACTGCTGGCTCCCACTGATGAGACAATATTTTAATGTTATTAAGGTTTTTTTTAGGTTGATTTCTTGAGAAAATCATGGCCAATGCCATTTTTCACAGAGATCGCCATTACTTGTGGTTTCCACAGAATTGTGAAACTGCAATTTAAGTAGGTCCCTAGGTATAAATGTTGCCACAAGGACACAGATGTTCAATTATTCTCAGTGTCTTCTCAGGAGAGAAAACTGACTTAATTTGTAGTGTGAGTGTCACAGAGCACTCAGGTGCCCTGCGATTTAGAGCAGAAACTGCTCGGGAGAGACCCCTAGCGAGAAGGGGGAGGCTCAGCTGCCAGTCACCAGGACTGTGCAGGTACTGGTTGCTAGGGCAACCAGTGAAACCTAGTGACAGGAAGGGGCAGGGCTTAGCCCTTCTTAAGCCCAGGCAGGAGGCCAGGAGGGCAGTGGCCCTCCGGCAGCTGAGGGAGGAGGAACTTGGCTGGTGTAGACAAGGGGGAGAACTCTGACAGTGGGAACATCCCCTGGTTGCAGCTGGGGCTGGCGCGCTCTCTCTCCCTGGTAGGAATTGATTCTTGTTTGACCAGACGGTCTAGCTTTTATGTTGCAGCCCGGGGGCTTTGTGTTCTTGTGTTTATTGTTTTGACCGGAGGACCAGGTGAGGCTATCAGGGGTTGGAGGAGGCCTCATAGGGACTCCACGGTAGCGTGGGGGTTCCTGGCGCCGGAGAGGGTGCAGCATTTTTTGGGGTGCATTGGCCCCAGCCCCAGAGTGAAGGGGGGCAGCGAGGAGCCCCGGAGCGGGCACTGGTGAGAAGTCCCGGAATGGGCAATGCGGGACTGGCCATAGGGTGCCGGCGAGGGCACAGGCAGTGAGACAAGCCATAGGGCACCAGCAAGGGCACAGGCAGTGAGACAAGCCATAGGGCACCAGCAAGGGCACAGGCAGTGAGACAAGCCAAAGAGTGTCTGCGTGACAAAGAGTAGAACAGACCCGAACAACATCGGATACATCTGCGAGGCTTGGGCTGTGGTGTAAGGGGAGGAAAGGAGCCGCAAATAGTGCCTCAGGCACGAAGACAGAAAATAGACAGCCTCCTGCTTGATTATAATCTTCCAATCAAGCAAAAAAATAACAACAAGGCGTGGCAAGTGAGAAGGCAGATGGGTGACCCTTAATCAGTGTTGTGGGATCACTAGTAGACAGCCCCGAAGAGGCACAACTGTCACAGTGAGTCATTTGTTTGTGTATGCACATGATGGGTAAGGGTGGTTAGAAATTAGATATGATATTAAGTAAAAACTCACCAACTATAAGAATAATTAAGTGCAATCAGGTTAGGTAAGGAGACTGTGGAATCCTAGCAGATAATGTTTTTAAAACAGGTTAGACAAATATCTGTCAAACAGTCTAGGTACACTTGATCCTGCTTCAAGACAAGATGAATAAAATTATCCCTTGAGATCTTTCAGTCTGATATTTCTGGGTTTCTTTTAAAAAAAGATATTCTCATCTTAAAGATAGAGGTACAGCTAGTCTATGATTTCTGCAACTGAAGCTGTTCCTGTGTTTAATGGTCAAGTTACTATATTCCAAGTTTTATTTAGCTGCATTTTGTTGTTAGAGATAATATTCACAGCAAATTACTTTTCCAACTCAAAATGAATCTACCAGTAATCCTGAATATCAATTTTGGGAATAGCATTTTTCCCCAAATGTAAAACCTATTTTCCTTCCCTACCTGAAGAGGGAACTGTGAAGATAAAATACTTAATTCTTGCAGAGGGCCAGATATTATGACGGGGGGGGGGGGGGG